ATTCATAAGGCCTCACTCCACTGTGAGTTATTATATGTCTAGTGAGGGATGAGGCATGATTAAAGGCTTTCCCACATTCCTTACATTCATAAGGCTTATCGCTGATACGAAATTTTTTATGTAAAATGAGGGATGAAGGACTATAGGTTTTACAACATTCTTGACATTCATGCTTATGACGTCTCACATGTGTCCAAAAGAAACTACAGACATCTTCCCAACATTTGTTACATTCATAGTGTTTCTCATCAGTGAGTGTTATCACAGAATTCTTAAGGGGTGAGATACAAATGAAGTCCTCCCCACATACCTTACATTTATGGGGTTTCTTCCCAGTAAGAGTTCTCATAGAAGTGATTAAGTGAGAGGAACAACTGCAAGATTCTCCACATTTCTTACAGTGATAGGTACTGCATACCAGGTGAGATTTGGTATGATGCTTATGTGATGAGTGATTCACAAAGGCTTTTCCACACTCACAGCATTCCAAAGGATTTACTTCTGGAAGCGTTCTTTTTAGCACAGTAAGATTTGGAATCCGGCTGTAGGTTTTCCCACATTGACTGTCTTCATTACTTTCACAAAGACTGTCTACTGTATGACTTCTGTTAAAAATACGCAACATGCTGTTGGAAATAAATTTGTTCCCATTTCACCATTACTGAACACAACAAAACATGCAGGTTTTTGCCCTGACTTCTCATGTTTCAAAGGTTAAATCATCTAGCAGAAATACTACCATTATTGTCACTGTTTTTCTAAAATATGAGGCTTTCTGATAATTTCATCCAAGTGAAATATGTTTCAAATACTCGATATGTGACTCATAATTACAAAAATCTTATAACATATTGTGAAAATTCTCTGAACACACAATTTTACAGCTAGGTTTATATACACAAACATATATATAAATATATGTAAACTCGTTGCCATCAAGTCGATGCTAACTCAGCGACCCTATAGGACACAGCAGAACTGCCCCATAGGGCTTCCAAGGAGTGGCTGGTGGATTTGAATGGCCGACGTATATAGGTGTATATATGTATACACACATAAACATACATACATTTATTTTAACATCATGACACCTTAGAACTTTCTCCTGAGGCACTGTTTTCTTCTGTTTGAATGACACTCACCTCAAATGTGTCCCCTTGTTTTTATGCGGATTTTTATTGCCATACAATTCAGAGATTTCTCCTAACATGGAGGACCAGGTGTTACTCTTCATGAATTGCACCATTATATGTTCACTGGATAACTCTTCTCCATCATTAAGGTTTCGAGAGACTGACCCAATAATACAAGTTGAGGTTCACAATATAAAACAAAAAGGAAAGGAATTATTAAGAGGAAAAAAGGTTGCTGTGAACAAAGGAAGACTTAGGCACATCTCACTGTATCAGCACTTTGGCAATGGTTAAAAAGCAATTTACTAGGAAATACTTCCATGAAGATTGAGAGTGATGGTGACAAAAATAAGGGTAATTAAGGGAGCTAAGCAGAAAGATATTGAATACAGCACACATATAACATTAAAAGAGAAAATGGGTCTCCATGACCACAGGTGTGGGAGGATTGCTAAAATCAGAAAAGTAAGCTCAGGTATCTGTTAAGTTGTATCCTCAACACAAGAGATTTTTTTCTAGCTAACCAATTCAACTGTAATGCCCTCCATGCAGGGCTGGTCCTTCAAAAAATTTTTGCTTTCCTGGTGCTTCCCAACACAGTAGCCCTGGATAAGTTCTATCACCACTCTCCTCAGATCTTTCCCTTGCTTCTCTGGGAAAACAAATGGGTACAGCTGACATGGTACTCATGGAGAAATGCATATCATGAAGAAAGACAGTACAGAGCAATGAACATTTCTTAGACACTAAGCCAATACTTTGCTCTTCAGGGTCTCTGAAGATGGACAGGTGTGAGTTTATTTGCAACAAAATAATCATGTCAAACTTATAATAAACACAGTAAAACTCTCTAAAAGGTCCCAAACCACAAATCTCTCAATGCCCCAAAGTGACCCCTGAAGCTTATGCTTATACTTACAACACTTAAAAAGCTTCAAGGTTTTTAATCACAGGTGAAATGAACTCACTTTAATACACAGAACTTTATGTTCATGGTGAAGCCAGGATACGTGAGCTCCAGAGACGAAGGGACCATGCCTGTTTAACAATTTATTCCCATTCCTCAGCCCAAATACTGGAGGAAAGTTGACAAAATTTTTTCACTAAAGGAATAATTTTTTTAAAGAAGTGATGCCATTCTTACCTACTGAGGCCATGTTTCTGAAGGTTTCCATCATCACATCTCTGTAGAGTTTCCTCTGAGTAAGATTCAGCAAAGTCCACTCTTCCTGGCTAAAGACCACAGCCACATCCTCAATGACCACTGAGTCCTAAAACATCCCACACATTCTGGATCAGCAAGGTACCATGTCCTCCAATGTGTACAAGAACGAAAGGTGAGGCTGACAGTCCGGCAGAACTGAGAATTCATAGGGATTTGACACAAGGTTCTGTGTTCTATCAAGGTCTACTCTAGGGTCTAGCTATTAGCCTCATCCCTTCACTAACTATATTCACTTCCTCACTGATTGCATCCTGTCTCACGGACTTCCAACACACTGAAATAATCTCTCCAGTTTAACTGTGACCAATTACAGGCTTATTTCTCTCTCTTTATGGTCCAGAACAGTTAGACATTAGAGACATGCTCTAATTCAGATCATCACTTCCCTGTGGACAATTTTACCTTCTTCCATAAGAACCACCAGAACACAAAACAGGATGAAGGCAGGGAGAGGTATTAACAACTGGGAAACACTGCAGAATGGCAGGGTTTCCTTTTGCCCCTCACAGCCATGGGAGGATCAAGGGCCCACACAAGTGGCAATCCAAGGCCCTGAGCTGGTCGTATTTTCTTGAACTCTGAGAGATTTAGGAGGTCCACTTGCTGAAAAAAGAATATTCTTTTGGAGAATTATGAATTTTTACATGCTGGCCACCTATATTCCAAAAACTCAGTTGTCCTGTCATCCTCTCTGTCCCTCTCATGGAGACAGGCAAAGGTAATAAAAGTTAAAAAGAGCTCAGGTGAGAAACAGGAAACATGACAATCCACATCTCCCCACAATTCTCACATTTCAAGACCTGATGCAACTGTACACCAATTAGTGACTGCTCCCTTCAACAAACATAAACCCATACAACCCTCACACCAACACAATCTAATGTTATAAAACAAAGAGCACTACCTCTGCAGAAATAAGAATAGCATGCCCTTGTGTTTGCTGACAAGAGGTTACAATTCCCATTTTATAATGACTACACAACATGCTGAATGTAATCAATGCCAAGTTATACACATAAACGTTGAACTGGCAAACGTTGTTATATATCTTTACCACAAAAAAATAACAATTTTGTAAGTTGAAATGCAGATGGTTTACATGTTAAATTGCCCGTGAAGCCTAGGAAACAGAGACTTACACATCAACCCTCTAGAGGCACCATTTCAAATTTCTGTCATATTTGCAGCCCCTGGAAGGCACACAACCATGAATATCTGAACACTAACCAATGCAATTCCCAGGTCTGTAAGAGTGACCTCTGTGAAATAGCACAAATCCATTGGCTTCCTCATGTAGTGAAGAGAAAAAGGCTGAACTACATTTTGGGTGCTAAATTAGAGCAGCTTTCGAATAAGACGACTTCTCTTGTCAGGGAAGGGGTGAAGTTAGCTGTCTATGTCATCGCTAATCACTCTTGGTATGATGGTGTCACAACGAACTCTGAGCTAGAACCAAAATCCAAAGTCTGCTCCACTGCAGTCATCGAAAATCCTAACATTCATTATACAATAATGATAAAACGTTCCATATATTGAACAACTACGATTGTGAAAGGTTTTGCAGAGTTTTCAACACACTAGCTCATTTGTATCTCCTGACTTGTGATGGTTAAGATTGTGTGTCAACTTGGCTGGGCCATGATTCTCAGTGTTTTAATGTGATCACTCCCATAATTCAATATACTGTGAGTAGTCAATCAGATGAAAGGGAGTCTCCTTGGGGGTGTGGCCTGCATTTGAATATAAGCAGATGCTCTGGCTTTTTGCTCTCTCTGGATCCTGTGGCTGCCTCCTGTCATCTCATCTCCGGTTCTTGGGACTTTAGCTGTCAGCTTATCTGCTAAACTTGGATTCGTCGATCTGCACAGCCTGTGAGTGGGAGCCTGCTCTCCAACTTGCCAATCTTGGGCTTGCCAGCTTCTGCTGGTGCATGATTTGGGAGAGGCCTCTACACTGATCCACGGACTTGGAAAGTTCTGGCCTCTACAATAGCATGAGCTGTTTTCTTGATATAAATCTCTCTATACATGTATATCTTGATACACTTTACTGGTTTTGCTTCTCTAGAGAACCCAGCCTAAGACATGACTCTACTAGAGTTCTGCTGGACACTACGAAAAGGAGACAAAGGAAACATCTGATTCAACGCAAAAACCTCAGAGCTACTTCTCCTGGAAAAGTCTTGTGTCTCAGGCAAGGCTTCTTCCCTTCAGACTCTTTACTGTGACTATCTTCATTTATTAAAACTGATTTAGGTTCTATTAACACAGAGCCTACTTTATGTTGGCAAAACAGATACAGCAGTGAACAAAACAGAAATATCCAGATGAACATGGATCGTAAGCTGAGTGTGGAGAGTAGAAAAAAATATATATATATAAAATACACATACGTGTGTGCGTACATACATAAAACGTCAAGAGACAATACATCCTACAGAAAATGCAGCACGCTAAGAGGATAAGCAGCAAGTAACACAAATATGTTTATCTTTAGTAAGTTAGCACAGGGAAAAAATCATTTTAGAAAACATTAGCTAGTGAAACTTGGCATGGTAAGGGGAAAAAAGGTCACACTTTCAATTCTAAAAACTTGGAGGCAGACTATGATGACTTTGCAAACACTCATATACATTTCACATGCTCGTCGACTTCAACAAGTCTCAACATAGAAACAAAGGAGTCAAAGGGTTCCACTAACCTTCATGCCAAGGAAAGGAAAGATACAGTGCTTACACCAAAGAAAAGGTCATTAGCAGTAGGCTAAACATAAATTTGGGAAACTGGAAAAAACAAAAGCAGCATAAATGAATGGTATAAAGAAAATAACTTGAAAATAACACAATAATGACACAAAACACAAATGAAGACTTTCGGTTTCTGGTCCGATATATAAGAAGCTTGGAAGCTGTCACTCCCGTCCTCACAAGGAAAAATCTGAACACACTGAACTCAGAAATTTGAGGTCATAGGGCAAACTGCTGCCCCAAAACTGGAGGGACACATAAGCAGCTCAGAGAATCATAGCAGTGCAAAAAACCTAGGAGCAGAAACCACCTCTAGGATCAGTATCAGCACAGGAAAACTTAAAATGCAATTGATGACTTGCTGGAAATTCAATATGGACAAACTTTAAAAATGTCAGGGGGGGGCCTAATCTTAGGGGAGACGACAGAGTTTTGTGAGTTTTGCCTGCAGGAACCCTATCAGGTCCTCAGTGTGATCACTGGAGAAAAATCTCCTTGTGCTTCCTTCCAGTAGAGGGAATAGGAAAAGCAGTCATTTTGAAAATTTCCCACAGGATTCTGTTTTCCCTGACAAGGCCTGCCCTCAAGGGAAACTATCTTACCAGAGTCTAACTGACCTGCAGTAGTGAAATACCCAACTTCAGCCCCATGTAGGCTTCCTGTCTCACAAAAATTGTTGAGGAGAGAAGCAGAGAAGCACGTGTGCGGTCACTGCCCACAGCACAGGCTCACTAAAAGACTGAGACTTAATCACTGCACTATCCCAGGCTTTCCCTTTGTCTACACCTCACCACTGTATCAATAGCACTCTTACAAAAGAAACAACTCTAAGTCTCAGACCTGATTTAAGAAGTCCCTGGAAAACCCAAACACAACAGGGAAGAAAAAAACAACATCAGAGCAACTGACAACTACAACAAAGAGTAAACACAGTCGAACGTCTAGCCAGATAAGGGTAAAACCTCATCCTAAAGGCCTATTTACCTCATTTCCTTTTACTTAATACACAGTATCCAGTTTTCAACAAAAAACTACTAGGCATATTAAAGACAAAAACAGCTTAAAAAGACAGAGCAAGTGTCAAAATCAGTCTAAGATATGACACAGATTTTAGAACAGACCAAAAATTCCAAATAACTGTAACATGCTAGGGGTGCTAATAAATAAAACATGTAACATGTAACAACACGGGGTAATGTAAGCAAAGAGATGCAAACCGTAACAAAGAAACCAAAAGAAATGCTAGAAATCAAAAACACTATCAGAAATGAAGAACGCCTTTAAACAAGTTCATCAAATGACAGGACAAAGCTGAGGAAAATATCAGTGAGTTTGAGGGTATGTTAATAGAAACATTCAAAACTGAAATGCAAAGACAAAAAAAGAATGAAAAAGATGGAACAGAATACCAAGAACTGTGAGACAATTACTAAAGGTGGGCCATCGACGTATTGAGAATAACAGAAAGAAAAAACAGCAGAAATGATCAAAAGAAATATTTTAGATAATAAGACTGAGAAATTTAGAAAATTAATGACACACCAAACCAAAGATTCAGGAAGTTCAGGTAACACCAAGCAGGATAAATACCAAAAAACTACATCTAGTGATACCATATTCAAGCTGCACAAAATCAAAGTGAAAATACCGAAAGAAGTGGGGTGTGGGGGGAATCACCTTCCTAGTGAAAAGCACAGTTAGGAATTAAACTAGACTTGTCTTCAGAAACCAAGTATCTTAGTTATCTAGTGCTGCTACAACAGAAATACCACAAATGGATGGCTTCAACGAACAGAAATTTATTCTCTCACAGTACAAGAGGCTAGAAGTCCAAATTCAGGGTGCAGACTCCAGGGGAAGGCTTTCTCTCTCTGTCAGCTCTGGGGGAAGGTCCTTGTCATCAATCTTTCCCTGGACTAGGAGCGTCTCAACACAGGGACCCCGGGTCCAAAGGGCACTTTCGGCTCCTGGCTCTCTCTTGGTGGTATGGGGTCCCTCCCCTCCCTGCTCACTTCTCTTTTATATCTCAAAAAAGACTGACTCAAGATACAATCTAATCCTGTAAACTGTGTCCTGCTTCATTAACAGACAGCTCACTCGAAAATAGGATCACAACCACAGGCATAGAGGGTAGGATTTATCATGCATAGGATAATTACATCAAATCAAAAATTGATAACCACACAATATTGGGAATCATGGTCTAGCCAAGCTGACACTTATTTTTAAGGGACACAATTCAATCCATGACATTACACACTTTGGCCCCCCAAAATTCATGTCTGTCACATGTAGAACACTTTCACCCCACCGTATCGTCCCAAAAGTCTTAACTCCAAAGCCAAATTCCAGGCTAGGGGAAAATTCCTCTTTATAGAAGTTATGTGCTTCCAAAGTACAGTGGTGGAACAGGGCAGACATTTCCATTACAAATGAGAGAAACTGGAGGGAAAAAAGGAATAACAGCACGGAACACATCAAACACCCAGCAGAACAATTTACGTTAGCTCTAAAGGCTTGAAAACAATCCTCTCTTCTCTGAGACCACTAGGAAATGGCCCTGTTCCCCAGACTCTGGGTGTTGGCCATGTTCCCTGGACTCTAGGTGGAGGCCCTTCAGCCCTAGGCTTCAGCTCTGCCTTCCAGGCCCATAGGGATGGCAACTCTGCTCCCTTGGCTTTGAGCAGCCCCATTCTCCTAGTCCATCTGCATGGCAACCCCAACCCTCAGCCCTAGCAGGCCCTGTTCTGCCCCTTGGGCATGGCAGCCTTTCCCCCTCAGCTTTGGGCAGATCTGGCCTCATCACCCTGGCACTTGTGAACAGCAGCCCCACACTCTGGAACCGAGTTGGGAAGATCTGACTCCTTGAAACCTAGGAGACTGTGGCCCCACCCTTTCAGACTCAGCAGGCTGTGGTTCCACTCTTTGAGACCTCAGAGGTCATGGCCCCACCCTTTGAGACCGAGGCAGCTCTGCTTCCTGTGCTCCTTGTCTCTTCAGCTTCTGCTTCCTGGTTCCTTGACCTCTCAGCCTGAAGGCACTCGGCTCTCTTGCTCCGTGGGTCAGCAAGCCTACCTCTGCTGACAAGTGCCCAGAGGCATCCCACTCCACCAAGAAGCTTCCTGCCCAAAGGCGCTCAGCTCTCTTACTCCATGGGTCATCTCCTGTGCCATCTCCCACTGGTCTCTTAGTTCTGCTGCCACTGTTTCTCGCCATCTGTGCTGCCTCCAGTGTTACAGTTCTCCTTACTTCCTTCTGAGCTCTCACCAGAATTCTTGACAGCCATAATTCCACCAACATTTTTTTCAAGGCAATCTAGGCTTTTACTATTAGGCACTGGAAAACTCTTCCAGCCTCCAGCCATTACTCAATTCCAAAATTGCTTCCAGATTATAGGTATCTGTTAGAGCAGCACCCCACTCTCAGTACCAAATTCTTTCTAACTAGTGCTGCTGTAACAGAAACACAAGCGGATGGCTTTAATAAAAAGAAATTTACTCTCTCACAGTCTAGGGGGCTAGAAGTCCAAATTCAGAGTGCCACCTCCAGGGGAAGGCTTTCTCTCTGTGTTGGCTCTGGAGGAAGGTCCTTGTTATCAAACTTACCCTGGTCTACGAGATTCTCAGCACAGGGACCCTGGGTCCAAGGGACACACTCTGCTCCTGGCTCTTCTCTCTTGGTGGTATGAGGTTCCTCTCCTCTCTGCTCACTTCTCTCTTTTATATCTCAAAAGAGATTGACTCAAGATACAACTCACTCCCAAATAAGATCATAACTACAGGCATAGAGGCTAAGCTTTACAACACACAGAAAAATTACATTAGATCACAAAATGGAGGACAACCACACACTACTGAGAATCATGGCCTAGCCAAGTTAACACATATTCTGGGGGGACTCAATTCAATCCATGACATCATGCAAGCAAGGAGAGAGGAGAATGAAATATTTAGTGTTGAAAGAAAATAAAAAAACAACTAATCTAGAAGTCTGTATCCAGCAAAATTATCCTTCAAAAGGGAAGGAGGAAAGAATGAAAAATAACAAGTGTTGGCAAGGATGTGGAGAAACCAGAACCATCATAAATTGCTAGTGAGAATGCAAATGGTACGGCCACTGTAGGGAAGTTTGGCAGTTCCTCAAAAAGTTAACTACAGATCTACGATATGACCCAGCAATCCCACCCCTAGGCAAATACCCAAAAGAATTAAAAGCAGAAAATCAAACAGAAATCTGAACACCAATATTCATCACAGCACTATGCACAGGAGCCAAAATATGAAAACAACCTAAATGTCCATCCATACAATGGAATATTTATTAGCTATGAAGAGATACGAAGTTCTGAAAGATGCTGAAACATGGATGTACTTTGAAAACATGCTGAGTGAAATGAGACAGTCACAGAAAGACAAATACTGTATGATCCCACTTATATGTTGAGCATTTTTGTTTTCTTTATGTCATTATGGTTTATAGATAAATGAAATGAATGTCAGCAATGTTATAGGAACAGAAGGGAGGAATTGAGAATACAGTTATAAGGTACTGTACTACCTATGAAGTTGCATAGTGTTACCTGAAAGTGGACTGGGATAGTGGTAAATGTATATTGCAAAATCTATAGCAACACAAAAGGTAAAAAGAAACAAAGAAATATAATCGATATACTAAGAGAAGAATATGGAATCACAGATAAAGCTCAATTAAAAGCAGAGGAGGCAGAAAAAGACTGAAAGACAAAAAGAAAGCAAAGAACAGGGGCAATGAATAGAAAACACTAACAAACCTGATAAGGAGTCCTGGTGGTACAGTGCTTAAGCACTCAGTTGCTAAACCAAAAGGTTGGCGGTTCAAATCCACCAGCTGCTCTGCAGAAGAAAGATGTGGCAGCTTGCTTCCATAAAGACTGTTGTTATTAGGTGCCATCAAGTCGGTTCCGACTCATAGCGACCCTATGTACAACAAAATGAAACACTGCTCGGTCTTGCACCATCCTATCGTTATGCTTGAGTCCACTGTTGCAACCACTGTGTCAATCCATCTCGCTGAGGGTCTTCCTCTTTTTCACTGACCCTCTACTTTACCAAGCATGATGTCCTTCTCCAGGGATTGATCCCTCCTGATAACATGTCCAAAGTATATGACACATAGTCTCACCATCCTTGCTTCTAAGGAGCATTCTGGCTGTATTTCTTACAAGACAGATTTGTTCATTCTTCTGGAAGTCCACGGTATAGTCAATATTCCTAGCCAACACCATAGTTTAAAGGCATCAATTCTTCTCTAGTCTTCCTTATTCACTGCCCAGCTTTTGCAAGCATATGAGGCTACTGAAAACACCATGGCTTGGATCAGGCACACCTTAGTCCTTAAAGTGACATCTTTGCTTTTTAACACTTTAAAATGATCTTTTGTAGTAGATTTGCCCAATGCAATGCGTCATTTGATTTCTTGACTGCTGCTTCCATGGTTGTTGATTGTGGATCTGGGTAAAATGAAATCCGTAAAGATTACAGCCTTGGAAACCCTATAGGGCAGTTCTACTCAGTTCTATAGGATCGCTATGAATCAGAATCGACTCAACGGCACACAACAAAAACACAAACACATTAATCCAACTATATCAATATATCCCTTTAAATGTTGATGGTCTACATACACCAATTAAAAGACACAGACTACATTGTTTACAAAAAAATCTCTTGAAATACAAAGACATAGATTAAAAGTAAAAGAAACTCAAAACTATATTAATTTCAGACAAAGTAAGTTCCAGAGCAAGAAAAATGATCAGGATAAAGAGAGGTATTACATGATAAAAGGGTCCATTCTTCAAAGAGACATAACACTCCTTAATGCATATGTGCCTAGCAACAGAGAGCCACAGTATGTGAGGCAAAAACCAACAGACCTGCAAGGAGAAATAAACAAATCTACCATTACTGATGGAGACTTCAACATCCCTCAATTAGCAACTGACAGAGTCAACAGGCAGAAAATCAGAAAGGCCACAGTTGTACTAACAACACTATCAGCAACTGGATCTAACTGACATTTACACAATATGTCATCCAAAAACAACACATACCCAGCCTTCTCAAGCTCACAGGGAATATTCACCAAAGCACACCACATTCTGGGCCACAAAACACAACTTAACAAATTTAAAAGAATTCATATAAAATACGTGTTCAGACCACAATGGAATTAAACTAGAGATCAATAAAAGACAGCTGGAAAATCCCAACACACATGGAGATTAAACAAGACACTTCTAAATAACACAAGGGACAAAGAAGTCCCAAGAGAAATTACAAAATATTTTAAACTAAGTGAAAATGAAAATACAACTTACCACAATTTGTTGTATGCAGAGAAAGCCACGCTGAGGGGGAAATTCATAGCACTGAATGCACATATCAGAAAAGAAGACAGATCTAATATCAACAACCTAGGATTCCATCTTAGGAAACAAGAAAAAGAAGAGCCCATTAAATTCATGGTAAACAGAAAAAAGAAAAATGAGAGAACAAACCAACAAAAATGAAAAAAGGAAATCAATAAAGTCACCAAAACCAAAAAATGGTTCTTTGAAAAAAAAATGAAGAAAATTGATGAGAGAGAAGACACAAATGACTAATATCAGAAATGAAAGAGGGGCCATTATTACTGATGCCACAGACATTAAAAGGATAATAAACGAATATTATGAACAACTCTATGTCCACAAACTTAATAACATAGATGAAATGGACCAATTCCTTGTAAGACACAATTTAACAAAACATACACAAGGAGAAAGATTATCTAAATAGGTTTATATCTGTTAAATAATTAAATCAGTAAGTAAAAACATGCAAAAACAGAAAGCCCCAGGTTCAGATGGGTTCCCTGATGAACTCTACCGAACATTTAATTAAGTATACCAAATTCTCTATCTCTTCCAGAACACAGCCGCAGAGCAAATACTTGCAAACTGATTTTATATGAGGCCAGTATCACCCAGATACCAAAGATATTATACAGTATCACAAGAAAAAAAAACTATAGACAAATATCTCACATGAACATAGAAGCAAAACTCCCCAACCAAAAATTAGGAAATTGAATTCAACGATGTGTAACAATTATACACCGTGACCAAGCGGGATTTATTCTAGGCATGCAAGACTGGTTTGGCATTGGAAAATCAATTGAATTGTAACCTGTTAGTTCCCTAATAAACCCCATAACATGAGAATTGTCTGTCAGTTGTGTGTGGCCATTGTAACGAATTATCAACAGAGAAGCAGAGTGCCATGGAAGGAATGGTTGGTGTCAGAATTGGTAAAGATGGCAGAGAGAGGAGGCATGTATGACCTCTACCTCATAGGAACCAGCCTTTCGCTGATGCTGATGGTGATTCTCTCTCCCCCTCGTGAAGTTAAAGGTCAGACGCCACCCCCATGCCACTTTTACAATGTTCTATTGTTGACTGATGAGTCACCAACCCTTTGAACAGGGAGATCTTTTTTTCAGTTATATATTGCAGTTCCATAGAAAACTGTCATGTTTTCGCTTATCTGATCTTCTGTTTATTCATTTTTGTTTTTTTTAATAAATAGATTTTTTTTAGAGCAGTTTTAGGTTTGCAGAAGAAATGAGGGGAAAGTACAGAGTTCCCATATACCCCTACTTCCTCCTGTCCCCTCCAACTCTATTATAGCATCTTGTATTAGTGTGCTAAATTTGTTACAACTGATCAACCAATACTAACACATTATTATTGATCAAAAGCCATAGTTTACATTAGGGTACACTCTCTGGGTTGTAGACTTTATAGGATTCGACAAATGATAATGTCTAGCCACCATTATGATATCACACAGAATAGTTTCACTGCTCTAAAAATCCCTTTATCGTTATTGTTAGGTGTTGTCAAGTCAGTTCCGACTCACAGCAACTCTATATACCAACAGATCAAAACACTGCTCAGTCCTGCGCCAGCCTCATGATTGTTCTTATGCTTGAGCCCACTGTTGTAGCCACTGTGTCAATATATCTGATGAAGGGTCTTCCTCTTTTTCACTGACCCTCTACTTTACCAAGCATGATGTTCTTCTCCAGGGAATGGTCCCTCCTGACATGTCCAAAGTACGTGAGATGAAGTCTCGCCATCCTCGCTTCTAAGCAGCATTCTGGCTGTACTTCCTCCAAGACAGATTTGTTCACTGGTGTGTAGGGGACAAATATAATAAGCAGGAAGATACATTAGAAGGTTATAGGCATAATCATATATGATGATGGTAGAGACTGGGGCGGTGGCTGGAAAAGTGATGTGTGCAAGGCATGGTCCTAGACTTTTAAGGTAGAGACAACAAAATCTCCTGATGCACTTAAGGTTGAAGTGTGAAAGAAACAGAGGACAAGGATGAATCCAAGATTTTTTCTGTTGAAAACTGGAAGGATGGTGTTTTCCATTGAATTGTGTTCCTCCCCCCTCAAAAACAAAAATATATGTTGTAAAGCCTAACCCTCTACCTGTGGTTATAATCTCATTTGGGAATAGTTTTGTGATGTTAATGAGGCAGTGTTGGTGTAGGATGTGTCTTGAGCCCACCTCTTTTGAGATATAAAAGATTAAGCAAGCAGCAAGAAAGCAGAGACGGGGAAGACAGATGCCATGACACATGAACATCACCAAGAAGCCAAGGAAGTGGAAAAGAAACAAGGACCTTCCTCTAGAGCCAACAGACAAAGCCCTTCCCCTAGAGCAGGTGCCCTGAATTCAAACTTCTAGCCTCCTGAACTGTGAGAAAATAAATTTCTATTTCTTAAAGCCATCCACTGTGGTATTTCTATTACAGCAGCACTAGATAACCAAGCCAGATGGTGTGCCATGCACTTAGATTTGAAAGCCTACATGGGAAGCACATTTTATGGAGAGGATACAGAGGTTACTTATAGTATGTTGAGACCAAAATGAGAGTAAGATGTCAAAAAGAAGACATGTAAAAACAGTATATTCCTACAGAAAACACTACTGAGCAATTAAAGTGAATACGGGCCCATGGAAGAGTTTTCCTGAAGTGAATTTAAACTAAAGGAATCGACACAAAAAGACAAAGTATTATTCTATTTGCTTTAAAAATAAAAACCATCAAAAAGGAAATATATTGATTTAGGGATGTATACACAGGTGATACACTATATATAAAGGAAAGCAAAAAACGACCATCAAAAATGTCGAGATACGACTACATCAAAGGGGCAGAGTGAAGATTGTGACTGAAAATCAACTCACTGTGGGGGGGTATGTCAGGAATGACCTATCTCTCTGACTTGGTTGTTCATTTATATACCACTCAACTGTACATCAATTATAAATTTGTCTGCATCTACGTCCAAAAAACCTCTCCAATTCAGATATGGAAAAAAAAATTAGCTGAAAATGGACACAAAAAATATACACCAAAGAACATACACGTGGAAAAAATCCACATTTTCATAGTAAAAGCAGATAGAAAACGATATCCATTATTGCATTCCTATTCAACATTATCCTAAGGGTTGTAGCTGGTACATGCCAAAAAGAACAGAAAGAAAAAAAGGTAAAGAAGTAACAATGCTAAATGCGGGGCTGGGGGAGGGGGGGTTCCACCCTATTTTATTTTATAAATCAACTGAATTTGTAGAACCCCAAAAGGTTGTTGTTGTTAGGTGTCGTCGAGTCAGTTCCAACTCATAGCGACCCTGTGTACAAGAGAATGAAACACTGCCCGGTCCTGCACCGTCCTCACAATCGTTGCTATGCGTGAGCTCATTGTTGCAGCCACTGTGTCAATCCATCTTGTTGAGGGTTGTCTTCTTCTTCACTGACCCTCTACTTTACCAAACATGATGTCCTTCTCCAGGGACTGATACCTCCTGATAACATCTCCAAAGTATGTGAGACGTAGTCTCACCATCTTTCCTTCTAAGCAGCATTCTGCTTGTACTTCTTCCAAGACAGATTTGTTCATTCTTTTGGCAATCCATGCTATATTCAATATTCTTCACCAACACCACAATTCAAAGGCGTCAAGTCTTCTTCAGTCTTCCTTATTTATTGTCCACTTTTCGCATGCACATGAGGCGACTGAAAACACCACGGCTTGGGTCAGGCGCACCTTAGACTTCAAAGTGACATCTTTGCTTTTCAACACTTTAAAGAGGTCTTTTGCAGTAGATTTGCCCCATGCAATGTGTCATTTGATTTCCTGACTGCTGCTTCCATGGGTGTTGATTGTGGGTCCAAGTAAAATGAAATCCTTGACAACTTCAGTCTTTTCTCCATTTATCATGATGTTGCTTATTGGTCCAGATTTTAAGGATTTTTCTTTATGCTGAGGTGTAATCCATACTGAAGCCTGTGGTCTTTGATCTTCATCAATAAGTGATTCAAGTCCTCTTCGCTTGCAGCAAGCAAGGTTGTGTCATCTGCATAACGCAGGTTAATGGTCTTCCTCCAATCCTGATGCCCTGTTCTTCTTCATAGAGCCCAGCTTCTCGGATTATTTGCTCAGCATACAGATTGAATAAGTATGGTGAAAGGATACAACCCTGACGCACACCTTTCCTGACTTTAAACCACACAGTATCCCCTTATTCTGTTCGAACGACTGCCTCTTGATCTATGTACAGGTTCCTCATGAGCACAATTAAGTGTTCGAGAATTCCCATTCTTCACAATGTTAGCCATAATTTGTTATGATCCACACAGTCGAATGCCTTTGCATAGTCAATAAAACAAAAAGGTGGTACAAATGATTATGGGACTGAGAGATTTTAACAAGTATTCAGATTATAAAATATCAAAAAATGGTTTACTTTAAATATTTCATTTATATACACTAGTATCAAGCAGTTGAGAAATTAACTTATTAAATATGTATTTTAATAAAAATAAAAGATACCTAAAAGGAATGTAATTAAGTAAATTAAAGATCCTAATGAAAAATTATAAAACATTATTAAATGTCATACAAATAGACTGAAGGAAATGAATGGGTAGAGCGCACTCTTAGGAAACTCTTCTCCCTAATTTGTTATTTCCAATGCACTTCCATAAAATTCCAAGCAATTTAATTATCTTTTAGAACGTCATAAAAAAATACTTTAGAAATGTTTTTGGAAGTGTAAATGTCCACGAATAGCCAACATGTTCTAAGGAGAAAGGCATGGGGGCTTGTCCAAACACGTCATGCATACAATTACACTTTTATATATTTACTTTATAAATAAAGCTATGATATATTAGACAGTGTAGTATCAGTATGCTGCTGTTGTTAGGTGCCATCCAGTCAGTCCCATTCTGGCTGTACCTCTTCCAAGACAGGTTTGTTCGTTCTTCCAACAGTCCATGGTATACTCAATATTCCTCGCCTACACCATAACTCAAATACATTAATTCTTTCTCAGTCTTCCTTATACATCATCCAGCTTTTGCATGCATATGAGGCAAATGAAAATACCACAGCTCAGGTCAGACTCACCTTAGTCTTCAAAGAGACATCTTTGCTTTTCAACACAAATACACAAATAGAGCAATGAAAAAAAACAAACA